GTCAATGTACCACAGGCCTTCAAGCTGGCTGTAGTTTAACCTTTACTCAAAAAGCCATCCCTAGACCCAGCTATCTTAGCTAATTATAGGCCAATCTCCAACCTTCCTTTCATATTAAAAATCCTTGAAAAAGTAGTTGTCAAACAGCTAACTGATCATCTGCAGAGGAATGGTTTATTTGAAGAGATTCAGTCAGGTTTCAGAGCTCATCACAGCACAGAAACGGCTTTAGTGAAGGTTACAAATGATCTTCTTATGGCCTCTGACAGTGGACTCATCTCTGTGCTTGTGCTGCTAGACAAAATGCTGCAGCAAGAGTACTGACAGGCAGTAGCGGTTTTTGATACGGGCGACATGGGCAGTTGCCCGGGGCGGCATCGTGGTGGGGGCATCATGGGCATCGGCAAAAATAAATTAATTAATTAAAAAAATTGCTCGTACTCATGCTGCCCCGACGTCATGCCAGCGCATATTGGGAATGGCATAGGCACCGATTGGTTTTCTATCGCCCATTTGCTGGGAGTAAGGGCGCCCTCCGTTTGCGAGGTGCGCCTGCTGCTTGCGGCACAGGGAGGAGAGGGCGGGGCGGCAGGGGATTCACTGGCTGGCTGAAGCAGCGTTTAATAACCCACCCCAAAATAAAACAAAATAAAAACAAACCAACAAACACGAAAACACCAGACATTATGATACAGACTTATAATTTGCACCAATGTTTTTTCGAAATTCTATATGTTCAGAGTGAGCGCGAGAGCCCTCGGTGCGCCTGCTTGCTGCTGAAGTCAAAGTAAACTTTGTCATCTCCGCTACATACAGTCCAGGATATAGAGAGACGAGACGACGAGGCTCCAGTTACAGCAGTGCAAGTAAACAAACAATATATATATAAGAAGAGTAAAAAAAAATAAATATACACTTTAGGACTAGTGGTAAAGGGATTAATAACAATTTAAAACTTATCATTTACAGTTTGATGATTTAAAGTCTCACACACAACACATCGAAAGGTGAGGGGGCCGGCTGCTTCCAAATAGAGCACATTTCATTCATAATGCTGTAAATCCAAGTCCATTATGTACTCTTGATTTGAATACTGGGTTGTGCGAAATCCCAGAAATACACCTTGTGGTGATCCTCGAGTTGGGGGATGGGTGTTCATACTGGAGTGCAAAATTAAAACCAAGATGGACAAGAAAAGTTCAAAGCCATCAGTATGGAACGCCAGGACTGCCATAATGAATTAATTAAATACACCATTAAATAATTAAATGTGGCAATAATTAATTAAAATTGGAATTAATTAATTAAATAAATAGTTATGACACATGTAATTAATTAATTATTGACACATTTAATTAATTATTTATGTATTTCACATTTTAATTAATTATAGACACATTTAATTATTTATGTATTTCACATTTTTATTAATTATTGACACATTTAATTAATTATTGACGCATTTAATTAATTATTTAATGATATATTTATTTATTTCATTTTGGCAGTCCTGGCGCCTGGCAGTCATCTTGAAATAATTTTATCTGTCAGCCTCACCCATCAAACCCAGGGGGCGGGGTTAACGCTGATCGAGTCAAAACCATTGCTTTGGCCTGGTGGCCATTGTTTTTAGCACACAACAACCGGCATGTGGAAGCTAACAGAACTGAGCTTTGAAAAACCCTGTTTGTGTGTCACCAAATACCGTTTTAATATTTTTTTAGCCGAGAATGTAGTGGTTTAATCTTCATATGTCTGGTCGGTTTGTCAAGATACAGCCTCTTTGCAAAAGTGCTTCGATGATTTCAGAGATGTCTGTCCAGTCTCACGGCAAAGCGTGGGATAGACCCGCTCGCCTCGCAAGCAATCGAGCTATTATTACCGCCGACAAAGCGCAGGCCCCGGTACACAGCTGTAGTAACCCCCGCTGACTTCTTTTACTGAGGTTATATTTATCTGTGTTTTATTTCCTGATGTTCTTATGTGTCCTACGTGTTTCAGTCGCCAATTCTGAATTATAACTAACATTAAAAACATGTTTAAGGAGGAGAGAGAGCAAATAAATCTGTTTAACATCTGATCTTTGGGTTTTTGTTCAGTAATCAGCGTGACCTGTGTATAAACGCATAAAAGAGATAACGTTGGTGTTTCTGTCATGTAGTAACTGCTGGCTTTAACTGTACAAAGGTTGTTCGACACTATGAAACACATACAGACTTCATGATGTTCGGCTAATATTTTTATTGTGAATATTAATCATGAGGGTAAACGGCCCTGTACACCACGGAGCAAGGTCAGCATATCCACGATATCCTCAGCTCCATGAGTTAACACAAAGTTTCCCAGCTGACTATCTAACTTCCAACTATTCCAGAGACGTGAAAATATACAGCATAAAGAAAAGTGTAAGAGACTCGGCAGCAGATTAGAATAACAGTTATACATTTAATAAATCACCAAATGAATCCAAGAAACGAGCAAACCTGTTCCGACAATTTGAGTTTGTATTCCCTCAGCTGCAGACTTGCTGCTGTTTAAATGTTTGAAAAGGAAGATTAGATATAAAAAACGTCAAACATAGACTCAGTCTGCCTTCACATTTGATATGAGGCCAGCACGTATAGTGGCTGTGTCCTGTTTTAAGATCATACATGTAAAATTGTTGTCTGACCTCCGTCGATCCAGCCGCTCAGAGTCTGTGGTTACCCTGGTTACTGCATAAACAGCTGTAATGTTAAAAGCGGGCACTGAGGAAACCTACCGGCAGCATGAGTGTTTATGTTTTTCATTGCAAAAGAACTGTCTGAATAGTTAACTGAAGTTAACTTGGATAAATTATAGTTAAGGAGTATCACAGATACTACGTGAGCTGTGCGACTGTTCACCGCTACACTGAAATCAGCAGGCTATTACTGAAATACACGTGCTATATCATAAACTATGATATAAATAGGGAGGTCCTATTAACATGTTTAGTTTTAAAGGACAACTTCCTGCCTTTAGTCTCAATTAATTATAGACACATTTAATTAATTATGTATTTCACATTTTTATTAATTATTGACACATTTAATTAATTATTGACACATTTAATTAATTATTTAATGGTGTATTTAATTAATTCATTATGGCAGTCCTGGCATTCCGTACATCAGGTGCTCAGTTTAGAAAAAAAAAAAGACAAAAGAAGAGGAGGATAAACGAGCAAAAGATACAGGTAAGCAGATGTGTCATTGGATAATGGCAGGTCATCCTGAAACAATCAGAATCAGTATACTTTATTAATCCCTAAAGAAATTATGTTTCAGTTTGGATTCGGGAGACAGACACTATCTCTACTCTCAAGATTCGCCTTAAAACTTTCCTTTTTGCTAAAGCATACAGTGGGGCAAAAAAGTATTTAGTCAGCCACCGATTGTGCAAGTTCCCCCAATTAAAATGATGACAGAGGTCAGTAATTTGCACCAGAGGTACACTTCAACTGTGAGAGACAGTTGACAGTTGTTGAAAAAAAAATCCATAAACTCACATGGTAGGATTTGTAAAGAATTTATTCGTAAATCAGGGTGGAAAATAAGTATTTGGTCACCTCAAACAAGGAAAATCTCTGGCTCTCACAGACCTGTAACGTCTTCTGTAAGAAGCTTTTCTGTCCCCCACTCGTTACCTGTATGAATGGCACCTGTTTGAACTCATCATCTGTATAAAAGACACCTGTCCACAGCCTCAAACAGTCAGACTCCAAACTCCGCCATGGCCAAGACCAAAGAGCTTTCGAGGGACACCAGGAAAAGTATTGTAGACCTGCACCAGACTGGGAAGAGTGAATCTACAATAGGCAAGCAGCTTGGTGTGAAAAAATCAACTGTGGGAGCAATCATCAGAAAATGGAAGACATACAAGACCACTGATAATCTCCCTCGATCTGGGGCTCCACGCAAGATCTCATCCCGTGGGGTCAAAATGATCATGAGAACGGTGAGCAAAGATCCGAGAACCACACGGGGGGACCTGGTGAATGACCTGCAGAGAGCTGGGACCAAAGTAACAAAGGTCACCATCAGTAACACACTACAACGGCAGGGAATCAAATCCCGCAGTGCCAGACGTGTTCCGCTGCTGAAGCCAGTGCATGTCCAGGCCCGTCTGAAGTTTGCCAGAGAGCACATGGATGATACAGCAGAGAATTGGGAGAATGTCATGTGGTCAGATGAAACCAAAGTAGAACTTTTTGGTATAAACTCAACTCGTCGTGTTTGGAGGAAGAAGAATACTGAGTTGCATCCCAAGAACACCATACCTACTGTGAAGCATGGGGGTGGAAACATCATGCTATGGGGCTGTTTTTCTGCCAAGGGGACAGGACGACTGATCCGTGTTAAGGACAGAATGAATGGGGCCATGTATCGTGAGATTTTGAGCCAAAACCTCCTTCCATCAGTGAGAACTTTGAAGATGAAACGAGGCTGGGTCTTCCAACATGACAATGATCCAAAACACACCGCCCGGGCAACAAAGGAGTGGCTCCGTAAGAAGCATTTGAAAGTGCTGGAGTGGCCTAGCCAGTCTCCAGACCTCAACCCCATAGAAAATCTGTGGCGGGAGTTGAAAGTCCGTGTTGCTCGGCGACAGCCCCAAAACATCACTGCTCTCGAGAAGGTCTGCATGGAGGAATGGGCCAAAATACCAGCTACTGTGTGTGCAAACCTGGTAAAGACCTATAGTAAACGTTTGACCTCTGTTATTGCCAACAAAGGTTATGTTACAAAGTATTGAGTTGTATTTTTGTTATTGACCAAATACTTATTTTCCACCCTGATTTACGAATAAATTCTTTACAAATCCTACCATGTGGATTCATGGATTTTTTTTTTTCACATTCTGTCTCTCACAGTTGAAGTGTACCTCTGGTGCAAATTACTGACCTCTGTCATCATTTTAGGTGGGGGAACTTGCACAATCGGTGGCTGACTAAATACTTTTTTGCCCCACTGTATCTCTGCTTGATGGATGAACATGAAGGCCATGAAACAGTCCCAGCTGCAGCAGAAAGGACTGAGAAGCAGAAGGAGCTCGAGGTGAGACGACTAAACATCCAGCAGAGAATCCAGGAGCGAGAGAAAGATGTGAAGCTGCCTCAACAGGAGGTGGAGGCCATCAATGGCTCTGCTGATAAAGCAGTGGAGGACAGTGAGAAGGTGTTGTAGGAATGTTTAGCTTATTTTAGAGTTTAGGAATGTGTTAGATAGGATATAGAATTGTGAGACACTGACACTGCCCTGGATCTAAATAAAGGCCTGACTGTGTCATGAACTTAGGAGTAGATTTTAGGAGACCCTCCCCCAGTTGAACTGTGAAAGTAAGACAAAGAGGAGTTAATGCTGAGTGGAAATTCCCCAGAGGATACAGAGTTTGCAGCACACTATGTTTTATAGTTATATAAGGGTTTTATGATGGGGTCGCTTCTATAAAGCTGGCTGTAACTAACAAAGGGGTGAAGATTTTGCAGAGGGACATCGGCCTCGTCTTCCGTTCTAGAAGTGCATGCTTAAATGAAGATGAATAAAGGTTTTGTGAAATAACTACTGAGTTCTGGTGCCGTCTCTGGAACTTATGAGGAATAAAACGAACCGGGGTGAAACTGATTTCGCAACAATGTTCACTGAGCTGATCCGTCTCATCCAGAAAAGAAGCTCTGATGTGAAGCAGCAGGTCAGATCCCAGCAGGAAACTGAAGTGAGTCGAGTCAAAGAGCTTCAGGAGAAGCTGGAGCAGGAGATCGCTGAGCTGAAGAGGAAAGACGGCGAGCTGGAGCAGCTCTCACACACAGAGGATCACAACCAGTTTCTACACAACTACCCCTCACTGTCAGCACTCAGTGAGTCTACACACTCATCCAGCATCAATATTCGTCCTCTGAGCTACTTTGAGGATGTGACAGCAGCTGTGTCAGAGACCAGAGATAGACTACAGGACATTCTGAGAGAGGAATGGACAAACATCTCACTGACAGTCACTGAAGAGGATGTTTTACTGTCACCAGCAGAGCCAAAGACCAGAGCTGGATTCTTAAAATGTTCATGTGAAATCACACTGGATCCAAACACAGCACACAGACGTCTGTTATTATCTGAGGGGAACAGAAAAGTAACATTTATGAAGCAACAAAAGTCTTATTTTGAACATCCAGACAGATTCACTGTATGGTGTCAGGTCCTGAGTAGAGAGAGTCTGACTGGACGTTGTTACTGGGAGGTGGAGTGGAGAGGTAGAGGAGTTGGTCTCGCAGTCACATACAAGAATATCAGCAGAGCAGGGAGCCTCGATGAATGTGGATTTGGATACAATGACAAATCTTGGGCATTATATTGTTACACAAACAGTTATACATTTATTCACAACAATGTCCCAACTGTCCTCTCAGGTCCTCGGTCCTCCAGAGTAGGAGTGTACCTGGATCACAGAGCAGGTATTCTGTCTTTCTACAGCGTCTCTGAAACCATGACTCTCCTCCACAGAGTCCAGACCACATTCACTCAGCCGCTCTATGCTGGACTTTTTCTTTATGGACTTGGAGACACTGCAGAGTTGATTAAAGTCAAACAGAGAAGACGGGTTCATGTTGATCTCTGACCATTATATGTACTTGTGTAATTTCTAAATGAGCTGAGAAGTTCAGTGGTCCATTGATGTGTGAAAATAATATTGCACTGATTCAAAATGAACTTACATTTATGGGCATTTTTTACGATTATGTAATCGTGCTACTAACAACCAGTTATTGTATTTAGAGTAAAATCATTTAAAGACATTTTTAGATGAAAGGTTTGTACTTGATAACTACTTGAACTGCTTTGTTTGAATTTCAGAAGATTTGGCAGGAATTTTGCTCTTAGGCCTTTCAGTTTTACAATCCAGACTTTGGAGGAGAACAAATAAAATCTAAAAGTGAGCTGTAGTGAGTATTGATTTCTTCTCTCAGTACATAAGATAACCAGTCCCAGTTCAAATCTGTTGCCAGAAGACTCATTAGAATCATGGTAGTTACTCTGTATCTGATGCTTTAAAAAAAAAAAAGCTAGTTTAGAATAAAGGTTTCTGATGTTTAGTTGAAGAATACTTGGACCAGATGTGAAAAACAGTTAAAAACAGAACATTGATGAGAGCAAACAATAGGGGCATGATATCAGCAAACATTATGGTTTAAAATAAAAATAATAAAACTCCAATAAAATTTAGGCAGATATTTCTGCTTCCTACTCGTCTGCAACACATCCACCATGTTTCAAATATTCCTGCTGTTTTTGCGCTAATTTTAGTTTCTGCTCGCAGGAAGTTCATGTTGAGCTCAGTGAGTCTGATCTGAATTCATATGTGAGAAAATGATTACACACAAATGAACCTGGAGCAAAATGAGCAGAGAGACTGAAAGAAAAATTTAATGACATACAGGAGCAGAATGATGGAGGACCTGTGATAAATATTGTATCAATAATAAGGTTAAGCAAGTGTCTTTCAACATGTCGCAGATTTGTTGTACGGGCCTCTTTACACTGTCTCTATAAGTTTTGTAAACCAAAAAACAAACAAACAAAGGTGTCTGCTCAGTCAGCAGTGTAGGGGGGAGGGGCTCTAAGTTGACCTAACGGGCTGTGAATGGACAGCAGACTGCAGAGGGAAGTGACGTCTCAGGAAGTGAAATGAGAATAGAAGTGGATGGTGAGCGATGTAGCGGTGAAATAAGATAAACACAATAAGACAAACAAACAGAAAACAAAGCGGAAAAGGAGAACAACAAGCAGAGTGAAAGTAAACCTGTAAGGTGGAGGAAACGGACAGTGAGCGCAGTGTAACCGTGACAACGAGACACGAGGACGGATTTAAAGTGATCATAAAATCGTCTCCAGACGGTCGTCGTTCGGTGAGTGGAACCAGATTCAGCTACAACAGCGATAAATACGCCTGTAGGGAGATGAAGAGTGCTATAATACTGAGAAACGGATCTCTGATGAGTGTTTGTAGGGATGTGGTTCAGCAAAATAAAGACACACGACTCTATAACATGCTGCCACATAAAATACATCAAGTAATTAAATAAAATGTATTTATATATCACTTTTCACAGATAAAAATCACAAAGTGCTTCACAATTAGATTAAATTCAATCAGAAGCATTATCAAGGACTACAACATCTAGTCCTTTTACTGAATATAAGTTTGTTTGTAGTGGAGTCTTGGCAGCGTAACGACAACGATAGAGAGTCCCACAGCCTTGGTGCCTGAAAAGCCTGATCCCCACAGGTTTTGAACCTAGTACGTGGGGGCAACAGTAACTTCTGCCCTGAAGAACTATGTGCTCGGGATGAAGCATGAGGTTTCAACAGGTCAGCGATATACTGGCCCAGCTGTCTGATGAACAGAATCAACCTTTTGAGATTTACTTACCTTGATCATTAAGCACGCATCAAGACCTTATTTTATTAATATATTTTAAATGATAGCAGCACAAACAAAATATGTTGCAGCACAAAACGTAGCACAAATGTTTGACATCAATTTAGTTTGATTTGTGTAATGTGGAGGGGCTGGTTGATCTTTTGACCTTTACATTTTCATTAATATCTTTAAAACAGAAGCAGCACAAATGACAATTTTAGCAGTAAATGGCAAATTATACTATCGAATTATAAAATTGATGAAAGAATATAATTATCCTTGTTTTTCCTGCTATTCTCCTGTCCACACTCCAGTCCAATAGGCGGGATTAATGCACCTGTAAGCTGATTTGTCAAACGCCATCAGGCCCCGAAGAAGAACGGAGGAGGACAGCACTACTGTGGTAGAGGAGCGGTGTGTGTGCAGACATGGCTGCTGTTGATGAAGCGGACTGAACTTGGAGGAGAGACACAAACTGAAGTATTGATCCCATCACATCAGTGTGGATCTGATAGCAATACCTGTATCGCTTCATCGATGCTTGTATCGATCCGCTCAGCCTGAGTTGAAGCAGCGATGAGTTCAGTTCAGTATCTGAGAGAGTTCATCAAGAAGAGACTAACTGCTGTTTGTGAAGAAATCTTCTCAGAGGTTCAAAAAACCATCGTCCAGTATGAGGAGGAGATCAACCGTCAGCACAGACTGCTGGATATCAGCCGGAAACCCGACAGAAACTCACACATCATAGGTATGGACATGTTTTTAACTCTGTGCTGTTCAAGCTCAGATTCTTCAGTGTGACTGACTTTACTAGAAGAAGTTAAACTGGGTATTTATTAGAGATGGCACGATACCACTTTTTTATGTCCGATACCGATACCGATATCATAAATTTGGATATCTGCCGATACCGATATGAATCCGATATAGTGTTTTTTAATCAACAAAACTGTTTTTTAAATATCTTGCTGCATTTTGTATAAGTTCATACTCAAGTTTAAAACAACAACTACACTAAAGCTATTCTGTTATACCTGTATGCAAAAAAAATGTTTCATAGTTCAGCAATACTGATCAATCTAATAAACTTAAACCTACACCATCCTCCCTATTCTGGTATTTTAAAGAGTACTTAGCATAAATATTAAGCAACCTAACTAATAGGGTTCCAACTCCCAGCAACAACAAAAATAAATAAATAAAAAATAGGGAACCACCCCTCACGCTCCACCTCATGATGCTTAATCGACGTAATCAACCTTAATTTGATGCAGTGTGAAAAAAATGCACAGAAATCAATTATTTTTCAAGAAATATTAAATAGATTCAACATCTTTCTTCAACAGAATTGCAGACTGCACAGATGGTACCTTCCCAAAGGAAAAAGTACTATAGCTTACTAGGGTATATATATTAGACTTAATAGTTACTATATACAGTAATGGACTTCTATACATTTTGCATCAAATTAAAACTTTGGGTGTCAGATAATTATTTATTAAAAGCTCGACATTTTAAATGAGAATAAGAAAGAAAAGTATGTCTTTGTGCCCCTTTTCCCTGTTAATGCCCTATCGGCCCCCCTGGCTAAACTTTGCTAGATCCGCCCCTGCACAGTTACCAGCGTCAGCTACGTAGAAAAAGATCCTTGAGTAGAAAGTAATATTAAATACATTCTAACAACAGCTGATCAAGCTTAAACGTGCTTCTGTTGTTCAGCCGCTGGTTTCCTCTTTCTGGTGCAAAGTGGGCCAAAAGCAAACTAGAGAGACGGACTCACGACAGAAAAGCTGATCAGCTGATCGTTAAGCAGTTTCATGATTGAAGTAGCAGCAAGAAGAGGCAGTCGCTCCATATATCGTTTGTTAAGCTTAACGCAGGAATGCTTTACAAACATTCAGAGATGGACTTACACACTTGCTTTACTTCTCTCGGGGATAACTTTGTCGGAGATGAAATGCCGGGTTGCTAGCGAAGCTCCAAATGCTATCCAGAGCACCAACAGGTCCCGCATGCCATAGCCGCTCTATCACGTGATGCATACTGCTCAGACGTGCTAACGTTCTGAGGCGAGTTACGGCGTGTTGCAAGTTTTGTGAGGTGCTTTCGTGATATTTAATGGATCGGATTACATTTTTTATTTTTCTCCGATATCCGATCCAGTAATTTAGGTCAGTATCGGACCGATACCGATACGTAATATCGGATCGGTCCATCTCTAGTATTTATCAGTGCTGTGGGTCAGTGTCCAGTGATGGACTATGTTGGACTGGTGCAGGTCCATGGTCACTGATAGGTTAGGTTTTAAAACATTTTAATTGATTTATTTACTAAACTTTTTTTTCTCTAACATATTCCACTGTTGAGTACATCAGGTGTGTGTTGGATCCTCTGTAAACACTGAGACTGTGCAGTAAAGATCTAGTTAGATGTCAGCAGAAAACACATTTAACAAGTTGTTAACAGACTTCTCTGAAGTTGAAGTGAAGCTTCATTTAAAGAAGGATTTCACACACTGATGTTTTCATGGTGTCACCCTGCAGTTTAGTTTGGGAAACTTTGTGTCTTTCTGTGTGGAGTGAGGAGCTTCAATGCTAACATGTTAGCGTTTAGCTGTTAGTGTGCACAACTATTTCCCTCTGTGTGTGTGTGGCTCATAATTGGTCATATGACAGGCTGATCGGCATTTATTCAGGTTTTGATTCATGCTTTATAAAATAGTTTGAGTTTATGTATCAACACATTGGTCATTATTATTCTTCTGTTTCTTTGTTCCTCGAGACTTCCCACGACAACATGACTGTGAGGAAGAGGAGGGTCTGGATGAGCAGCAGGTCTGTAACCAGGAGAGGAACTCCAGTCTGGACCAGGAGGACCCAGAGCCTCCACAGATTAAAGAGGAACAGGAGGAGCTCTGCAGCAGTCAGGAGGGAGAGCAGCTTGGACTGAAGAAGGAGGCTGAAGGCATTATCGTCTGGACTGATGAAGAGCAGCTCAGACAGATGGAGACTATCTGGAAACCTGAGATAAAGCTACACAGAATAGGTATGTAAAACTGTGATGTCTTTATAACATTGAATATGACTCACAGGCATCACAGTGGAACAGTGGTTAGCACTGTTGGCTCCCAACAACAAGGTCCTGGGTTTGACTCCACCTGGGGTCCGTTCTTCGTACCTCGCTAAGTAAGTTATCTGGATTAGATTGTTGACGATTTCGCGTGATCTTGGATCGTTCGGTTCCCCGAAGCTCATCCGGGACTTGCTGTCATAGCAACAGAGCCGTAAGCGTAAACCTGCTCGGGAGCAGGTTTACTTTATGTAAACAGGATTAGATCGCGGCCACGCAGGTATGTCCGCTTCATTTATACGAAAGCAACAGCGATATTCCACCACTGTTTCACCATAAATAAATAACATCAATGTAACTAAAGATAATGCAGCACTTGATCCTTTTATTGATGTCACACAGATACATACAGGTCATTTCCTAAAAAAGGGAAATGTACTATTAACATTCTATTACATGTATGTGATTATTACAGATGTAATTCATATTTCAGAGTAGTAATTGTAAATCACTTCGTGTAATCAAGATGAGAGACCACGGCTATAAAAGCGAAGGTGGATTTGGGAAGCCTGTCGCAGCTATGTCCTGTCCGTTTACGCGAGCAACCCATTGCAGAAGGTGCAAGATTGATAAGGAGAGTCCTCAGAATCCAGCGTATATTGCGGGACAGACAGGATCCTTTAGCTCAGCGCGACAGTGTGCTCATAGAGAGCTATCGATTTTCCCGTGAGGGTATTATTCACTTAACCAACTTGTTGACGAGGGGGTGCAGGACCACCACCTGTCTTTTTTTTTGCTCTGCCCTTTTCTTGGTTGCTGTTATGAACAAACAAACAGATTATTCCAGGGTCTCTTTCCAAGAGACTAAAAGCAATATAAGTGATAAATATTACCATTCTGTAGAATATTCTTATATTCCACTTTTACCTGTTCCCATGTTCTAGTGGGTCCTGTTGTGGCTCTAATGTGAAAGGGGATATAATATAACATAATATAATATAATGTAATATAATATTGGATAATATAGTGTAATATAATAAATTTACCCTACCGCCTACTGGTGTTGGCCAGAGGGGCCGATGGCGCGATATGGCAGCCTCGCTTCTGTCAGTCTGCCCCAGGGCAGCTGTGGCTACAACCGTAGCTGCCTCCACCAGTGTGTGAATGTGAGAGTGACTGAATAGTGGCATTGTAAAGCGCTTTGGGTGCCTTGAAAAGCGCTATATAAATCCACTCCATTATTATTGTTATTATTAAATTACTTACGAGTTTAATTTGTCAGCAACTTTCTGCCAGCCCTCTCTCCTTGCTTTTGCAGCCTTTGCAGTGTTCCCTTGCGTTCTGATTAAACTCTGAAACTCCTGAAATCCCGCACTCAAGAGTTCTTGCTCTGCTGCCGAAAAATACCGAGCGCGCTCCTTCGACATTTTCGCCGACCAATCAGAGGGTTGCCGATCAATGTTTCTACTCTCGATGCGTAGCCCCTTTTACGACACCCAGTGATCTCACATTACTTCATCCAGCTGTACTAATCGTCAACAGCAGGTGTGTTCGGAGAACTGGATTAGCGAGCTCACGGTTAGCGCGATGATTTGATCTTGGATGTGTCATTTGATCTTGGATGTAGTAAGCGACGTACGAAGAACGGGCCCCAGGTGTCTAGGTCTTTCTGTGTGGAGTTTGTATGTTCTCCCCTTGTTCACTCTCCAGAGACATGCACACAGCTGGGTTAGGTTAGTTGGTGACTCTAAATTGCCCATAGGTATGAATGTCAGTGCGAATAGTTGTCTGTCTTTCTGTGTTGCCCCTGCGACAGAGTGTTGACCTTTCCAGGGTCAACCCTGCCTCTCCCTATGGTAGCTGGGATTGGCTCCAGCACCCCATACCCTAATAAGAACAAATGGAAGAGAATAACCACAGCTCAAGGTTGCATTTATTTTTAGAGGCACAAGAAGAATTGAAGGTCCAACTGTAATAAGCAGCATGAATGAATCTCTTTAGCCTGATTTTCTGTTTTCATTTACATGAACACATTTTTGCCATTAACTCATGCAAAAAGGTAAATGCATGCATAAAATCCAGCAGAATGAAAGATGTGAAACATCTAAGTTTCTCACAATATTTGGAGGGTCATGAATATCATTTATGAAAAAAAAGGGCAGAGACAATGCTTTAATTTCAGGGGATGCTGAAAAAGCCTTTGACAGGATGGAATGGCCGTTTGTATTTGAAGTTCTGAAAAAGTTTGGTATTGGAAACACATTTTTTAAATGGATTCAATTGATATACTCCAATCCTCAAGCAGAGATTTTAACTAACAGTCATTTTTCCACACCATTCAGACTACACCGCGGAACTAGACAAGGGTCCCCCTTGTCACCTCTCTTGTTCACCTTGGCAGTTGAGCCTCTTGCATTGTCAATTCAATTCATAAAAACATCAGGAATTAAAGTAGGCAATATTGACCATCGTATTGCCCTATATGCTGCATATATGCTGATGATGTGATCCTGTTTTGCACCAACTTAAACAAATCAATACTAAATCAAAACTTCCAAATTTAATGTGCTACTTTTTGGCTACCAGGAAGACACTAAATAAACAAACTGAGAATCCGTTTCTGAAAAACACTATAATAATCTGGTTTGAAACACATAACTACTTGGGAGAAACATCACAACTGTCAAGGTTCCCTCCAATATTTAGAAACAACAGCTTTCCTCCCGGTAGGGCAGATGCAGGCTTTAAACTTTGATTCGATCAAGGTATAAGAAAAGTGTCTGATTTATTTAGGAATAATACTCTAATGTCTTTTGAACAACTTAGAAGTACATTTTCTATTCCTGCAAAACACTTTTTCAATTTTCTTCAATTAAGAAATTTTATTTTAACCACACAAGGTTAAAGCTTAGAACTCTCCACCTACTGTTCTCTAGAGAGCACAGTTATAAAACATCTAAATGGGAGAGGTCAAGTTTCTGCATTTTTCCAAAGTGTTTGTTGATTCTTTGGAGTTTTCCATAGAGTCTATTTTAGAGGCATGGAGAAATGATTTGCAAATGGATATCTCTGATGATGAGTGGTATAAATTATGCTCCTTGGCCTAGAGTCAGACAATCAACATTACTTCAATATAGATGGTTAACAAGACTCTATATTACCCTCTCAAAATTGCATCATTTTAACCCAAACATCCCAGACGCCTGTATTAAGTGGGGAGTGGATAGGGGCTCTTTGTTTCATTGCATATGGGAGTGCCCACATGTGAAAGTCTTTTAGGAAAAGGTAATAAATCTGACGGATGAAAGCTAAACCAGTTCCACACCGCTGAAGTTGCATTTTTACAAACCAATTCTGGTTCCTCCGTTTCATTCAACGATCCACTTTCACCCTTGTCATTCTCAGTTGCCGCTGTGCCTTTTTCGCCATGTGCGTACGAAAACAAAGGCACTGCGCATGCGCGTTTTACCCATGTTCTATCGCGATATTTCCTTTTCTTGTCGTTGCCCAACATTATACTGGTATTACTGTGAACGGTATGATATGGCCCAGCCCTAGTTCAGAGAGTTATTCCTGTGAACAAAGCTCTATCCATTTTAAAGGGAAGCTGATCGGATCAGGGTCTTGGAGCTAAGAGCTCCTGCCCGATCCCAGACAACTTCAAAGAACCAGCCTTCCCTGCAGTTTTTTTATTCCGTGAGCAGAAGCACCACCCATTGTAAAACCCATATGGTCATAAAAGTTAAAGGCACTGTCTTCTGATCACAAAGGGTCGTCTCCCCTCACCCCTGTATACGATTTAACCCCTTCAGCGGTCCACTATATACAAACACAGGTGAGCCTATAAAGGGCAGGAAGTAAACATTCTTTACCAAATAAGGAAACCCAGAATCTTTCATGAAATGTTAAACACTATAGCTAATTGCCATCCCCACCATCTAAGGTGTGTAGGGGAGGAACAGAAAAACATCTAAACATGCAGTTTAGGACAAGATTTACAAATTTAAGTACAACAGTGGCAACTTTTATCCAAATAACTATGTGTGCACGTGTGTGCATGTGTGTGTATGTATATGCATGTGCGAGTGTGTGTGTGTGTTTGTGTTTGGGGGTGCACTTGTGTGTCCTCCTGCCCACAAAAGGGTCATAACGGCAGGAAGTTTACTAACCAAAAAACACAACCTTAACATAGGATGTCCCTATAATGAAACACTATAGCCTCCCCCACCAACAAATTGGCTGGAGAGGTGGTCAGAGACAAAGGAATGTCTTTGATGCTGCTGCTTGAACTAAGACTTACAAATTTAAGTAACACAATGACAATATTTAACATTTGACTCCAACATGGGTAACTATGAATAAATATTTCTATTCTGTTTTGGAAAATATGGAATTCAGAGTTTCTAAACTTAGATTTATCAGGCAAGAAGAGATTTTTTTTTACGGCATTTCAAGCACAGCCAAAACGTTTACACCTATGTAATAGAACTCTGCCCTAGCATGCCTTGTTATAACTGTAGCCAATCCAGACATACACATTCATTTAACAAAATACAACATCTATTTATTTCATACGTCACAGATATTCACATATGAATTTGAAATTTGACCTTTGCTAATAAGAATGTTAGAACTAAACATTTGCATCAGTGACTGAATAATTTGTCACATTTGTACACTTTAAATTTCAGTGGTATATGTGAGCAACATGCTCACTATGTAGAGACCTGCTAATGGTTAAGACCAGTAAATATTTTCTCAAATGTTTGTTTTGCTATCATTTTTTCTCCTTTGTGCCTTCAGATGTTGTACAGCAGCAAGCTTTTGAGGAAGAAGATGTTCTTACAGACCAGCAGGTCTGTAACCAGGAGAGGAACTCCATTCTGGACCAGAAGGACCCAGAGCCTCCACAGATTAAAGAGGAACAGGAGGAAGTGTGCAGCAGTCAGGAGGGAGAGCAGCTTGGACTGAAGCAGGAGGCTGATACTTTCATGGTGACACCCACTTATGAGGAAAGTTCCCACAGTGAACCAGAACCAAAAAGTGAGCAGCTCCTTTCTCACAGCTCTTCTAGAGCAGAGAGCCGAGATCATGAAGAAAGCCAGCATGTGGACTCAGGATCTTCTAGACGTACGGAGCTGAAGAACAGACGTCCAAGTAGAACGGACACAAAGAACAAGTCTATTCAGTGTGACGTCTGTGGAAAAACTTTACCTGATAAATACAGAATGACTGCACATCTAAGAGTTCACACAGGTGAGAAACCGTATTCTTGTAGCACCTGTGGGAAAAGATCTTCTGACTCATCAGCGTTAAAAAAACATATGAGAATTCACACAGGTGAGAAACCATATTGTTGTAGCACCTGTGGGAAAAGATTTGCTGACCCATCAGCGTTCAAAAAACACACGAGAATTCACACAGGTGAGAAACCATATTGTTGTAGCACATGTGGGAAAAGATTTACTGACTTATCAGCTATCAAAAAACACACAAGAATTCACACAGGTGAGAAACCATATTCTTGTAGCACCTGTGGGAAAAGATTTGTCCAGAGGACGCAATTAAAGAAGCACATGAGAATTCATCCTGGTTAAAATGTTCATATTTAGAGAATGTGAGACAGCTGTGAGTCATTGGTGAACACCTGAGTGAAAAGATGATCCATATTCAAGTCACTATTTTTTTCCAGAGCAGTAAAGAACTCTGTGTTGTTTGTTCAGTTTATTACATTATTCTATTAATTGTATCAGAAAAACTGATCTCACATTTCTTGATGGTTAAAGTTCGGTATGCTCCCGTTCTATTTAATAGTTTTAATCCTTTGCTCAAGTGAGTTTTTATCAAAATAAAAATCAACAAAATTGAACAACAGTCAAGAATTGTGTTTATTTTTGTCAGGAAGCAAAAGTATCAAATACCAAGTTTCATGCTTGAAGAGGGAAGTCCCCAGTACAGCTTGTTAGTCCCACCCTTTTTTTGCCTTAACCCTCTGGGGCCGACGGATGCACCGGCGTGTCAAAATCACATGACCAATTTAAGATGACACAGTTACAAGATGCAGCGACTCAGTCTCCATTGGGTCGAAAATGCGAACTTCAAACTATATACCAGTTTTTGAATTGTCTCGATTGGCCAGGTAAAACCAATGTTATGATAAAAAATACACGCAATGTTTTTTTCTGAACAAAACAGTGGTGTTTACAGCAGGAAGAACGGTAAAAACTGCGTTTTCTAAGGACAGCGCTAGCAAACACTCTCCACTTGCGAGTGAAAAAAGAAAAAGAAAAAACACCCTTCCCTATTGGTGTTAGAGTTTACCATGTCAGCCAATCAAAAAATGATATGGCAACATGTGACACTTGTTGTTTAAGGAAAAGAGGAAGTTTTTAGGAGTGACACCCGCGACGGAAAGCGGGCGAGTGAAAGAAAGAGAGAGAGAGCGAGTTTTCATATGTGAGACATTAGTGACGTGTAGTGTGTTTGGAGCCTATAGTTAGTGTGTTGTGTAGTTATTGTTTTGTATTGTGTGTCAGTTAGACTGCTGAATGTCACATTTGCTCCAAAAAGCCACCAAAGGCAGATTCCAGTGTAAACGCTGTTTCCACCTGGAAAACTGGACTGATGCACCTCCTGCTGTCAAACCTGCAGGGTTTAGGCCTGTGGTGTTCTCCTCTGTCTTATACTGAACACAAACTATTTTTATTTGGACTGGCACAAATAATTTGTGTGCCTTCTTATTTGATGCAGAACACCTGATTGTTCTGTAAATAGATTTAAATGGTTATATTAAAAAAAACAAAAAAAAACGCCTGAGGCCTTGGCTGCATTTTTAGGTAAATAGTACCATATAACTTTGTTGTTTGCAAAACATGTGCAGGATTTTTAGAACTGTACAATTTCTATTTGCATTCCAAGTTGTGAAAATGATTCAATAAACATGTTTGTGGGTTTTACAGTATAAAATATAACTTTTTTCTATTCGGATTTTGAATTTTTTTGTCTGAATTTAGATGAATTGTGCTAATATAATATGCCAAAATGGAAAAAATAACTCAGATTTCAGATATTTGAGGTTGTGCTGGAAAAAAAATGATACCAAACAAGGCAAGATAAAGCGTTTTTAAAGGTGAAATATAGAGGTAAAATCAAAAGTAGTCAAAAACGGCCAAGTATACCCTGGACCACAGAGGGTTAAAAACCCATCCCTAGACCCAGCTGTCTTAACTAATTATAGGCCAATCTCCAACCTTCCTTTCATATTAAAAATCCTTGAAAGAGTAGTTGTCAAACAGCTAACAGATCATCTGCAGAGGAATGGTTTATTTTAAGAGATTCAGTCAGGTTTCAGAGCTCATCACAGCACAGAAACAGCTTTAGTGAAGGTTACAAATGATCTTCTTATGGCCTCTGACAGTGGACTCATCTCTCATCTCTTGTCCTGCCACTTGGGCCCTAAAATCATAGAAATATGGTATCTAACCAGATTCTTTCTCTGGATGGCATTACCTTGGCCTCCAGTAATACTGTGAGGAACCTTGGAGTCCTTCAACGCACATATTAAACAAATATGTAAAACTGCTTTCTTCCATTTGTGCAACATCTCTAAAATTAGAAATGTCCTGTCTCAGAGTGATGCTGAAAAACGAGTTCACTGCAGGTCTGCTTGTTGTTCCTAGAGTATTTAAAAGTAGAATGGGAGGCAGAGCCTTCAATTTTCAGGCCCCTCTTCTGTGGAACCAGCTTCCAGTTTGGATTCGGGAGACAGACACTATCTCTACTTTAATCTTTCCTTTTTGCTAAAGCATATAGTTAGGGCTGGACCAGGTGACCCTGAATCCTCCCTTAGTTATGCGGCAATAGACGTAGGCTGCTGGGGGATTCCCATGATGCATTGAGTTTTTCCTTTCCAGTCACCTTTCTCACTCACTATGTGTTAACAGACCTCTCTGCATTGAATCATATCTGTTATTAATGTCTTTCTTTCTTCCACAGCATGTCTTTATCCTGTTTCCGCCCCTCCCTGAGCCTGGTTCTGCCAGAGGTTTCTTCCTGTTAAAAGGGAGTTCTTCCTTCCCACTGTCGCCAAAATGCTTGCTCATAGGGGGTCATATGGTTATTGGGGTTTTCTCTGTTTCTATTATTGTAGGATCTACTGTACAATATAAAGTGCCTTGAGGTGACTGTTGTTGTGATTTGGCGCTATATAAATAAAATTGAATTGAATTGGACAAAAAACAACTAAATTCAGACCACTGAGGTTGAGCTGAAAAGAATGATACCAAACAAGGCAAGGGGAAAAATAAAATGAAACAATTTAAAGGTGAAATACAAATGTAAAATCAAAAGAAGTCAAAAATGGCCAATCATATTTTGGACCTCAGAAGGTTAATCTGACAAATCATGAAAAATTTGGTTTAATTTTTTTTCATGACAGTGCAGATTTCTGACATTTTATGTAAATTAAGCTTGTAACAATCTGATTTTTTTTTTCTTACAAAAAGCAGTGGAACTTAAGTTAGACTTGTGTTTGCCCCATGTTGTTTCTTTCCAGCTTTCTGGATTTTATACTTATTGGGTTACATGTTTATTTATTATATGGGCTAGATCCACCGATGGACCCTGAGAGGAAAATCCGCCTCTTAATCATCCAGTGCGCAGATATCATGACCACAGACACTTCAAATAAGTTATCAAACCTCCAGCATACCCTGAGTTGATTGTATTCCTTTAAAAGTTTCAGTTTTTCTCAACAACACTGGATCAGATTCATGTGCGTGTCCGTGGGAGCACCAGCACTCCCTGTAGCATCGACAGGTCGGAGGTTTCCAGTTCAAAACCTCCAACCTGTTTTATAGAGCGGCAGCAAACAGCAGTTTCATTCTTTGTTTACCCACATCAGCTGTTCATCCACAGGCTCCACCTGTGTGATTATATCACTGGCCTGCACAGAAACACAAAGAGAGAGAGCAGACATGTTATTAACCCACCCAAAAAAATCAACACCTAAAAGTAAACACAGGAAATCTGACAGGGTATTTTATTTATATCTGTAAGGATTTGTCAGTGATATATTGTTTTCTGTAGTTTTTCTTGTGTACACCACCAGAGTGGATTTGAAATCAACCAGTCAAGATGTGATTGAAGTGCAGTCTTTCAGCCTTAATTTAAGGCGCTTAACAAAAACACTGGATTAACAACTGTTTTTATACTTTTTCTTTTTTTAAGCCAATTTTCTGAGGCTTAAAAATACGTGAATAGTTAACTGATAGTTTCATGACCAGGTGAGTCCTGTTCTCTCATTATCCAAGGAGAAACTCGTCAGATTACTGGAACTGTCAACATGAAGTCTACAGAGGTATTAATGCCAGTGAAGGAGGGATTATGTATAAAATCAGCACTTTGAAAGTGTACAGAGGCAAGTGTGTTTGTGTCCAAATACTTATGGCTCCTCACACACCTTCAGTGTGAGCTCATCCTCGCTTTCTGCTGTGAAGTCAAACAGAGCTTTGGCCATTCCTTTAGCCACAGGCTGCTGGTCTGTGATTGGCTGAGCTGGAGAAGAGAGAAAAAACAAATGAAAAACAGCTACGACCCACACCTCAGTCTGCACACACACCATTTTAAAAAAATCAATAACTGAGAGAGTCCCTTACATTTTAAATCAATGTTGACAGCATTTCTAGTAAATAAGGGCAGATGGCATGAAGATGAACTGAGGACGTGATTTTGGGATGACCTCATTCGGCGCTACCTGTGTCTCCCATGCCAGGCAGATCCCCTTCCACTAATTTGAGGTGAAAAGGGGGAAGAAGGGCCACGAAAAACTGTAGTCCCACTCCTTAATGTCAGATAATTTATGTCCAACTAATTAGAAAATAAATATAAATAATGTTGTTTAACAGAAATGTACTATCTAATCTTATGTTTGTATACTGTCTTATCATCACATCCTGTGACTTACCTGAGCTTGGTCCACCTTGGTTGGTCTCCTTGTTTTTTTGCAGGTCTCTGTAATGTCTCAGCATAGATGAGGCGATGTTGTTGAATCCAAGCTCTTTTGAACACAACAGAAATTATAAGAAAGATGTAAGAACATGTGATGTGCTGTGTTGTTTATTGGTATTTCTGTAGTTATTATTACTATGTGGGTATTGGGAGAAATCAGATCAAAATCAAAACGGGAAAATCTCTTTCTTGCTGGTTCAATCTCAAAAAGACCCTTGAATAGTCTCAAAAGGTTGATTGTCGTTCCTTCGGACATTTTCAGTGGGAGAAACGTTTCGTCACTCATCCAAGTGACTTCTTCAGTCTCAGCTGAATGCAGGTTTCCCCAACCTTCACAAAAATCTTCCTGGATTACTCAACACACACTCTGAACCCTCTAAAAGTGACGTGTGATACCACTGATGTCTTTTCTGAAGTGATACCAAGTAAAATTCAAGGTAATGTCGGTGTTACTGATCTGATACTTTGTGCAAAAACCTAATGTGTTCTGAAACTAAAAATAAAACGTAGTGTATTTAAAAGTATACCTTCATAATGAATGCAAGACATCAGACTACTTGTTCTTATTGTTTAAATGTGAAGAATTCTCATGCAAGAAATAAAGAACCCAAAAAGCCAATGCCAACATTTTGAAATATTAATTTAACAATCAAAAGCAAATGTGACTGATTATAATGATAATACAGCTGAGAAACATTTTCTAGATATAAGCTATTATCTTATGTATGATATATTTTTGAGCTGTATTTGTATTTTTTAAAGCCTGCAGTGACTGTTTTACTACAGGTATGCTGTACATTTTTATGATACCTGGCCTATTTAATCCAGTTTAAATGCTATATGCAACCTTAGATGACTAAATCTCG